GAGCAGCCACTGCACTCCAGTCTGGGCAACAGAGTGAGACTCCAACTCAAAAAACAAAAAGAAAGATGTAAGATATACAATTTTGATTTTTTTGTCATAAGTTCCTCAAAGTCCAAAATTCCATTATAAGCCAAATCTCATTACAATAAAATTGTTTCCAATACTTTACTATTGAATATGAAGTGACTGTTTCATTAAAAAGTGTGGTCTGCTCAAAATAGTAAGAGACATTTACTAGAAACCCATACCCAGCATACTGGTAAACAGACAGAAATTGGAACCATTTCTTCTAAAAACTGGAACAAGCCAAGGATGCCTATTCTCACCCCTCCTTTTCTTTTCTTTTAGAGATGTGAAGTACAACACAGGGTTAGGTATACAAATGTTCATTATGCAGGTACCCTTGTGGATGAGGTGTGCCCCTCCCTCCCTGACAGTTTCCCTCAACTGCCAATCCCACCTCTCCCTTCCCTAGCAGTTTCCCACTACTGCCAATCCTTTTCTTAGAGTATTATAATTGTTCAAGGTCCACTTATAAGTGAGAACATATAGTACTCTGTTCTTTGTTTCTGTGATAGATCACTGAGTATGATAGACTCTAAATCCATCCAAGTTGCTCTGAAGTCCATATGTTTGTCCTTCTTTATGGCTGCATAATATTCCATTGTGTATATGTACATTTTTTTTTATCCAGTCCAGCTTCGATGGGCAGCATGATTGGTTCCATGTTTTTGCTACTGTGACTAGAGCTGCAACAAACATGTGTGTGTATCATTTTTGTAGAATGATTTGCATTCCTCTGGGTATATTCCCAGTAGGGGGATTGCTGGGTCATATGGAAGGTCAATGTCTAGTTCTTTCAGAAATCGCCACACTGCCTTCCAAAGAGGTTGTACTAGTTTGCATTCCCACCAGCAGTGTCGAAGTGTCACCCCTCCTTTTCAACATAGTTTTGGAAGTCCTAGCTAGAGCAATCAGACACAAATGGGACTTCATCAAACTGACAAGCTTCTGCAAAGTCAAAGAAACCATTGAGAGCAGGGAGACAGCCCATGGATTGGGAAAAAATATTTGCCAACGGTATGTCTGACAAAGGCCTAATATCTAGAATCTACAAGGAATTCAAACGTGCCCCCCCCCCAAAAAAACCAGCCCCATTACAAAGTGGGCAAAAGATATGAATAAACACTTCTCAAAAGAAGATATACGAGCAGCCAACAGATACATGAAAAAGTGCTCAGCCATACTAGTCATCAAAGAAATGTAAGTTAAAACCACACTGAGATACCACCTAGCTCCAGTCAGGATGGCCATCTTCAACAACTCAAAAAACAACAGATGCTGGAGAGTATGTGGTGAAAAGGGAACACTCCTACACTGTTAGTGGGAGTGTGATCTAGTACAGCCGCTGTGGAAAACAGTGTGGTAATTCCTTAAAGATCTAAAAATCGACCTTCCATATGATCCCACAATCTCCCTACTGGGAATATACCTGGAAAAACTCAAATCACTCTATAAAAAAGATACCTGCACATGTATGTTTATCGCAGCATTGCTCACAGTAGCAAGAACAAGGAACCAACTGCGCTGTACATCAAAAGAGGACTGATAAAAAAAAATGTTGGCCAGGCTCAATGGCTCAGTCTGTAATCCCAGCACTTTGGGAGGCTGAGGCAAAAGGATTGCCTAAGCCCGTGAGTTCGTGACCAGCTGGGGCAACATGGGTAGACCTCGTCTCTACAATAAATCAAAAATTCAGCCAGGCGTGGTAGCACGTGCCTGTAGTTCAGGCTACTTGGAAGGCTGAGGCGGAAGCATCGCTGGAGCCCAGCAGGTCGACACTGGGGTGGCCCTGAGCATGCCACTGCACTCCAGCCTGAGCGACGGAGTGAGACCCCGACTCAAAAAAAAAAAAAAACGTGGTCGAGTTGCTGGTGATCCATGAGATGTCTCTGAGTGCAAAAGGTTAAGGAAACTGCTAAGATTGTGAACAATGAACAAAGACAACGAGGGCGAGGCTGTCCAATGGGATGTACCCCATGATCCCCAGTGACCTCTAAGCTTTGAGTCTGACTCACTGTGCTTCCTTACGCTTTCATTTATATAATAGCCCCATTTGTTGGTATATCTGTAGGGCTGACACATTAATAATGGTCATACTTTATACTTAGAGAGTTTATAGTTCTGCTATTTTATTATTTAAACTACTGTAATCTTTCCTTTAAGAAATCCCCTTATTTCTGATTATCTTTTGATTTGCTAAAATCTTTTGTTTTTTGAGTTAGGAGTTGCTCGCTCATGGCTACTAGTCTCGACATGCTGGGCTCAGGTGACCCTTTCATCTCAGCCTTCTAAATAGCTGGAACCATGCCCAGATCATTTGTTGGTTTACTGTAGAGATAAGGTCTTGCTAAGTTGCTCAGGCTGGTCTCGAACCTCTGGGCTCAGGCAATCCTTTCACCTTCACCTCCCAAAGTCTGGGATTATGGACGTTAGCCATCATACCCAGGCCTGATTTGCTAAAATCTTTATCTCCTAGAGTCACCATGTAAAAATCAAGTATGCTTTGTTATATGAAAACTGGCTTCCCTATTATATGTGCCAAACAATCATTGCCTCTTCATATAGATCTCTCCTTAAACATTTCCTCCTTTTACCACTCAAGAGGAATATCACCTAACCTGCAAACAAATACACACACACACACAAAACTCTCCATCAGTAGGCCTCAGGACATTCTGTACTGCTGTGACTCAGAACACTAGGAACTATGTGACAGTGCAGTTAAATTTTTACATGCTCTGGAATGCATGTTCTCTAGCAGAGCACCTTTTTTTTATAGTTTACTTGAATTTCTGGTAAAAATATTTAATGTATAGAGAATTCCTAAATTAACCAAAGTCTGATAGAAAAGTATTGTTACAGTTAATTTTCCATAATACTAGCTCTGGATTTCTCAAAAGGAGAGTAGCTCCAATCAATTACTTTTTTTTTTTTTTGAGTCAGATCTCACTCTGTTGCCCAGGTTGGAGTGCAATGGCACGCTCATGGCCACCCCAGCGTCGACCTGCTTGGGCTCAGGTGATCCTTCCACCTCAGCCTTCCAAGTTGCCAGAACTACAGGCACATGCTACCATACCTGGCTAATCTTTTTGATATACTGTAGAGATAAGGTCTCACCAAGTTGCCCAGGCTGGTCTCGAACCCCTGGACTCAGGCAATCCTCTCACCTTCGCCTCCCAAACTGCTGGGATTACAAGCATGAGCCATCGTACCCAGCCTTTCAGGATTCTTAAACTGTGCTTTTCTGCTCTAAAACTGTCAACCTACTGCATAATTTCTTTAGGTTAAGGGAATGAAGGAAACAAATGTCTAAAACTACTTTTCAGATGACATAAATCTTACCCATAGCAACGCAAACACATCGTATAAGACTTAAGACAATACTTCATTTAATGGACTCACTGATGTGTGATATTTTATTAAATACACCTCCCTTACTAATAGCTTTAAGTAGAGCACTTTCTGTATACATATGCCTAATCAGGTCTATTACTTTGAGCAATACCTGGTTGGCTAAGGCTAAAAACTTCTTGTCTTCGTGAAGGAGAATATTGAGAAAGCAACATCAGGTCCTGCAGGGCTAAATACTAAAAGAGAAAAAAAAAAAAGCAAATTATTTAATTTTTAAAAATATCTACATAAAATCTTAGTTAATGATTGGGTTCATCATTATATATACAAGAGGAAATTAGTTGGACGTTTTCATGAAAGAATTAATTTATTTCAAAACCATAACCTTCCTTTCTAGACTTCCAGAACTTTCTTGCCTCCACCCTCCCTACCTACTGCAGGCTCCAACTACAAGGAACTATAGAATCCTCTGTGTTCTTCTCTACTTCTAAGGTTGGAAACGAAAACATCACTTCCTTCTGGAACTTTCCCTGCCTCCCTCATACAAACATACACTCACTCAGCTCTCAACCACACGTAGCTCTCAACCATGGCACTTAACACAATACACTTAACACAGTGTGTCATAATTGCCCCTTTACTTGTCTCATCTGATTACATCCAGGAAACTGTGATGCCCACAAGAACAAAAACAACGTCTTGATTGCTACCGCAGTACTAGCACCAGTAGAAACACATATCTGCTATTCTTTTTTTTATTAAAAATCTTCTTTTTTTTCCCCCCAGCAAAGCTTTTTACTCATCCTTCAAGATACCGTCCCTCTCTAAAGCTTGTATTGGTCCCAAGCAGAATAAATGTTCTGGTATTGGTCCCAAGCAGAATAAATGTTCTGGTATTGGTCCCAAGCAGAATAAATGTTCTCACTGCACTTGCCACAGTAAATTTTAATTATTTTGTGTGTCTGCATTTTCCATTAGCCTATGTTATGTCTTATTTTTTAATTTTTTTCTTTAAGAGACAGTCTCACTCTGTTGCCTAGGCTGGAGTCAGTGAAATGATCATAGCCCACTGTAGCTTAAAACTCCTTGGTTCAAGCAAGCCTTTCCCTCAGTCTCCTAAGTAACTGGGAAAACAGGTGTGCATCACCACACCCAGCTATTTTTTGTGTGTGTGGAGATAGGGGTCTTGCTATGTTGCCCAGGCTGGTCTCAAACTCTTGGCCTCGAGCAACCCTCCCACCTCGGCCTCCTAAATTGCTGGGATTACAAGTGCAAGCCACTGTGGCCTGCCTATGCTATGTCTTAGTCATCATTCTACACCAAGCAACTGGCAGTACTGACAACTGCCCACTAAATAAAGATTTGGTATTAATCAAGCAACTAACTGGTATTTTTTAGTCATAATTAATATTTAAAAGTAATGAGGTTCATTTTTTTAAAAGCAGGATTTATTAAGAGAACAGAAAAGCTCCCACAGTGGGAAGGGACACCAGGGGGTTGCCAGGTTCATCTTCTTAATTGTTTGTAAATTCTTTGGCGTGTGATCAAGACTCTGGGTTCTAACTATTTTCTTTCAGTTCTTTTTAAAGGACCTTTTAATAGGATCACACATATTATAGATCCATATTAAAACTTCAAATTGTCATTTGAATCAAAATAATTTATGATCACTTAGCTTGATTTGAAAATTTATTGCAACTTCTTTAAACTCTTGATTATCATTTATGTTAGGATCATTACTAGTAATTCTTACTTAAAGTAATTCTTACTCACTAAACATCTACACATTGCCAAGCACTACTTTTGATCATTAAAGCCAACAAAAACTACATGAGTAACTACATGTCTTGGCTCAGTGATAAAAAGGCAGTAGTGTCTTGTTTTGCTACCATAAATAGTTTGTGAAAATTTAATGTATATAGTTGAATATCATTATCTTTTATGCTTGGAAATATTTTTATATCTTTTCTGAATATAGAATTAGCTGGCTGGTACACATACACTGTACTTCCATTTTAGTCACTTGGAATGAAAACTGAAAAAATGAACAGCATTAACAGTAGGCAATTTTTATCATTTTATCATACCAGTACTAGAATTTTCTAGACCCTTAAAAAATATATCTAAATACTTAAATATGTTAAGTATTAAGTTCATAAGATAAAGTGAGAGATAACTGTAAAGATACAAAATGCAGTTTAGTACCTTTATGATAAGGGGAGGATTGCTGTTCAAAACTTTCGGAAGGCACTCATCTGACTCTTCTGCAAATGGTAGCTGAACAGGGAACACATGAGCCTATCAAATAGAATCAAATATAAAGATTTTGAAAATAATTATTTTCATGATCATCTTCCATTCAGTAAGTAAAAACTAATTAAAGTTTATTATAAAAAAGACAACACAACCAAATTAATATCTTTAGTGCTCCTGGCAAAGACAGGCTACATTAAAGTTACATAAATTCAAACATATCATTTTCAAAAATAGTACTGTCCCAATTTTATTAAACTCTGGCTTCAAATACAAAAACAAACATCAGAAACAAAGATTCTCTGAAGTCACTGTATTGAAGACTAAAAACCTACAGATATGGTAAAATGAAACAAAAACACCCATTTTCTAAGACAAACACTTGGAGGATAAAAACAATTTAATTCTCATTCACTTAAAAAGATTTTTGTGGGATTTATCCAGAAAGAGGTTGAATTTTCAAAAATCATTTCTTCAATGTAAATTTTAAAGCTTTCCTTTGGCCAGCACAATGGCTTACACCTATAATCCCAAACTTTGGGAGGCTGAGGCGAAGAATTGCTTGAACCCACGAGTTCAAGACCAGCTTGGGCAACATAGTGAGACCTCACCTCTACACAAATAAAAAAATTAGCCAGGCATGGTGGCATGTGCCTGTAGTCCCAGCTACCCAGAAGGCCGAAGAGGAAGGACTGTCTGAGCCCAGGAGGTGGAGGCTGTGGTGAGCCATGATCCCACTGCACTCCAGCCTTCCAGCCTGAGCAACAAAGAGAGGAGAAAGACTCCAACTTTCCGACCCCCCTAAAAAACAACGACAAAACTTTCCTTCAAAAAACAAATATTTTATTGCAAATATTTAAATTTTTTAATAGTTGCTATATCAATGGTGCAAAATTAGTTTAAAATTCAGGTACATTTAGTGTGTACTCAGCAAAGAAATGGAAGCCTCCGTAATACAACTAAGCTATAAATAAATCATAGTAGAAGCCGGGCTCGGTGGCTCAGTCTGTAATCCTGCGCCTTAGGAGGCCGAGGTGAGTGGATTGCCTGAGCCCATGGGTTCAAGACCCGCCTGGGCAACTTGGCGAGACCTCGTCTCTACAATAAATCAGAAAAATTAGCTGGGTGTGGTAGCGCGTGCCTGTAGTTCCAGCTACTTGGGAAGCTGAGGCGGAAGGATCGCCCAGCAAGTCCCAAGGAGCCCAGCAAGTCAAGGTTGCGGTGGCCAGGAGCGGCCACTGCACTCCAGTCTGGGTGACAGAGTGAGACTCCAACTCAAAAAAAAGAAAAAGAAAAATCATAGTAGAGTCCAAAAATTAAGTGAACATTAGCATTGCTCCTCAGTAAAAAATCTCAAGTAAATAATGGTTAAAAATGATATGCCCCTAATACAGTCTCAGGAAAGACACCAAAAACAAACTTGTTGAAATGGTGATCAGTGTTCTACTAAAAATCAATTTGTGCAATCCAAAACACAAAAGTATTAACAAGAAAATCAGTTCTAACCTCTGTGGCATAGATTTTGAAGAGTATCCAAGAGATGTACCAAGTCATCAGGAGAAAGACACCACACAGCCAAACGTGGTAGAGCAATGATAAGTTCAAGAGGCCACTCACAGTGTCAAGAGGCTTGTGAAACTGCCTGCAAAAGCAGAAATTACTATTTAATTCTGTAGGAAAAACACAACCTAACCATTTAGCAGACTTAGGACTTCACAGTGAGAAACAAATAATAATGTTTTTATATCTTCAACACCCTGACTAGGCATGCCCAGCCCGCAGCCCACAAGCCACATGTGGCCCCAGGACAGCTAGTAATGCAGTCCCATTGTTCTCATTTTCCTAAACTTTATAATAATGAATATTTTCTAAAAAAAGGAAGTCTTATTATGTATATACACAAACTATATAACATAATTTATGTGCAGCCCAAGACAATTCTTCTTTAGTACGGTCAGGGAAGCCAAAATACCCCTGAACTAGATCCTTAGACATAAATGGCAGCCGGGCTCGGTGGCTCAGCCTGTAATCCTGCGCCTTTGGGAGGCTGAGGTGAGTGGATTGCCTGAGCCCGCGGGTTCAAGACCCGCCTGGGCAACTTGGCAAGACCTCATCTCTACAATAAATTAAAAAAAAAAAATTAGCCGGGTGTGGTAGCACGTGCCTGTAGTTCTAGCTACTTGGAAGGCTGAGGTGGAAGGATCGCCAAAACCCAGCAGGTCGAGGCTGCGGTGGCCGGGAGCAGCCACTGCACTCCAGTCTGGGCAACAGAGTGAAACTCCAACTCAAAAATCAAAAAAACATAAATAGCACAGTGGTTCATGCCTATAATCCCAGCACTTGGGGAGGCAGAGGCAGGAGAATTGATGACTCCAGGAGTTTGAGATCAGCCTAGGCAACACAACAAGACCTTGTCTCTACAAAATTTATTTTAAAAA